AGGGAGCATGGCCCTGCCAACACCTTGATCTTGGACTTCTAGCCTCCAGAACTGTGAGAGAATAAGTTTCTGTTATTTTAAGCCAGCCAGTTTGTGGTACTTTGTTACAGCAGCACTAGGACACTAATACAGTGTGTGGCAAGGGGGCAGGGGGGGTTGTTCACAGGAGCCAAGCAGTGGGAGACAAGAGACAGACATGGTCCAATAGGAAATGAGAGGACCCTATTGCTTTGTCCCTCAAAGTACAGACCAAGGAACAGCAACATTCCTGGGAGCTTTTTTGAAATGAACAATCTCAGACCCCACCCTAGACTTGAGACATAATTTCCCTTGAGATGATTGCAGCCCAAACTATGCAGCCTGGGGAAAAACAGCAACAGCAATCAACATATTTAAACCCATTTCATGTATTAGGCTCTGATCTGAGAGTTATACTCTAAGTTAACCCACTTAATTCACACACCAATCTACAAGGTATGCACTATTATTATTCCCATTTCACAGACAGGGAAATGAGTCACAGAAAGGTAAAGTAACTCTCCTAAGTATGTGAATAACAAATGTTGAAGTCAAGGAAATGAGCCGCATTTATCTTTATTTCAAAAGAAAATATACAAGAAAAAGTTGTGCTGATACCTAAGAGTGGGATGCTGAAGGGTTAGTCCTCTCTCTCCTATGGACCTGAACAAAATTAGAAACAGTTTTACTGCTGGAAAAGGTGTGCTGGAATATCTACCTTGCAGAGGAAACTCCAAAATCTTCCCCATCATTCTATCTCTATCCATTCCTCACCCAGCTGTAGATTAAGCAGCAGGGTAGCTGCACTTTTTTCCCCTACAAGAGGAAGCTACAGCATGAAGGAGGCAAGACTAGAGAGGAGAGTGCAGCATTCAAGATCCAGCTCTGAAAAAATTGTCTAGAGATGACGTAGACCTTGAACACCAAATGCCTTCCCATAGAGATTACCATTTCACTGTAGTCATGAGAGTGGGATCTCTTGAGAGGTGTGAGAGAGAAGAAGAAAGACGTTTCCTCCTTCCTATTGAACATTCTGGGAAATTGATATTTTGTGGGCCAGCAAGACTGTGGAAAGAGAAAAAAAGGCCACTTCTTCTAATGTTATCCTCAGCTCCGTGTATATCAAATGTACATATAAACCACTGCTTCTGCTTCAGAAGAAAGTAAAGGAGCAAACCCTCCTTTATGCCAGTGGATCAGAGATGACGTGCTATGTACACTTCTTTTTTCTTTCTTTTTTTTTTTTTTTGCAATACGTGGGCCTCTCACTGCTGTGGCCTCTCCCGTTGTGGAGCACAGGCTCCGGACGCGCAGGCTTAGCGGGCGTGGCTCACGGGCCCAGCCGCTCCTTAGCATGTGGGATCTTCCCGGACTGGGGCACGAACCCGTGTCCCCTGCATCGGCAGGCGGACCCCCAACCACTGCGCCACCAGGGAAGCCCTTATGTACACTTTTGAGTGGTCGAACTTAGTCCCCACCAAATCTCCCTGTTGAACCTTCACACATTCATCAAAATCCACTTCAACACTTATCTGCTCAGTGAAGTCTTCCATGTTCCTCTGTGCTTATTCTACGCTTGGAAGATCCTCTGAACTACTGCTGTAACTTGCATATACTCCTATGATAAAATTTATCCCTCTGTATTTCTATTGTTGGGTTAAATGATTGTGTCCTTTGTTAAACTCTGATCACCTTAAAGTCAAAGATGGCATCTTATTCATTCTTATATCCCCAGTGCCTGGCACAGACCTAGTAAATACTTTTCCATGAATAAAAATCCACTCTGTACCATGAAAATCATATTTAAAGTCATTGGGAGTATTTAGAATATGATACCCACCAGTTACATATGGCTATTAACTTAAAATTCATTAAAATGAAATAAAATTTAAAAGTTCTTCAATTCTATCACATTTCTAGTACTCCATAGCCATATTTGGCTAGTGGATACAGTACTGAACAGTATTGATATAGAACATTTTCAAAGTTGAACAGTTTTTGTACAATATTTTCAATTTGTATGAGCAAAGTTATCTTTTTTGAAATGTGAAAACACTAATTTGGACTGGTGGGATGCCCGTTATTTTATAGCCCTGCACACTATTGCAAAGAAGATGGAAGATGCTATGGATGTTCAGTGATCCTTCATTGTTGGGCACATTCTTGTCTAAAGCAGCAGAAAGCAACACATTGAAGTGACGGAAAGTTTGCCTTTCTTACTTACAGGCTGTGTATCCATGGGAAAATTACTTGACCTCTCTGTGGCTCCATCTGCTCATCTGGTAAAAGGGATATTAAATAACCATACAGAGCCCACAGGGCTGTTGTAAACATTAAATAAGATACTTTATATACAGTTAAGACATAGTATTCAATAAATAATAGTGATTATCCTTATGGTACCTGCACCTCAACACTCTAACCTATTAACACAATGTGGAGGAACTGCTGAGAACCATGGATAGATTCCCTTCATAATTTTTAAGACTGTCACCTTTGGTCTTGACATGCTATGAATTGCATAAACTGTTGCACAAGCAAGGGCTGACCCTAACTGGATCAGGGCTATGATTCTGACTGCATTTCCTATATCTCAATTTCATCATCTGTGAAATGGAAATAGGACATTCTTATGGAATTTTTGTTATAAGTAGACATGGTCCAAAAAGAGCCAAACACAGAAGCTGGTAATTTGTTGTATGCATTGAATAAACTCTAGAAATAAATATCTGTTGTTGCTACTGTTGCTGTTGTTGTTTTTATCTTTCTACCAGGAGTTATCTCATGTCTGCAATATATTCAGTGCTAGTTCATTGAATGAATGAACAAATGAATGAATAGAGTATGCTAAAGCAATAAATAGCATTTTCCATTTATTGGCTGATAATAGAATATGAATAAATATCACTAACATGATCACTTGATAATTAAATAGCTCGTACAGAGCTTTGTACATTCCAGGCAGTAACTGGTATGAGGAGAATATGACTTTAACGGCAACAGTTTAGAGCCCTGTGCTCTGACTCTCATGATTCTTGTTTTCTAAATTTATTTTTTAATTAACTTATTTTATTTTTGGCTGTATTGTGTCTTCGTTGCGGTGCGCGTGGTTCTCACTGCGGTGGCTTCTCTTGTTGTGGAGCTCGGGTTCTAGGCACGCACATGGGCTCAGTAGTTGTGGCGCACGGGCTTAGGTGCTCCGCGGCACGTGGGATCTTCCCGGACCAGGGCTTGAACCCGTGTCCCTTGCATTGGCAGGTGGATTCTTAACCACTGCACTACCAGGGAAGCCCTCTCATGATTCTTATAATTATCCAAATATTTTCTTGGTTTTCTGCCAAATTTATGTACAAAACATAATTGACTGCCCGTTAATATTGACAGTGTGCATCTTCTGTTTACTCTTCGATTTTTAATACTAACCATATTTCTTTCAATAAGTGAACTCTGTTTTAGTCAGAGCCATTATAAAAACAGTCTGCTGTATCATAATGGAAAACCAGATTTAGCTAATCATTTGACAAAGTTTCATCAAATAGTTTTGTATTTATTAGCACCTCTGATCAATGCAGAAAAGTGTAAAATAATTGGGGTCATAAAAAGTGCCTGGGATGACAAATGATGTAAATGTAATGCTTAGCTGAGGCTGGTGGAATTTGTTCAATCATCCTACGGATACTGTTATAGTGTTTGGGCTAGTTATTCTTTGAGTGTCCTGACCAGATCCATTCCCCTCCCTTCTCTGCTCTGCCCCAGGAAGAGGCTTAATCTTCCTGGTTTTCTTGATGGTTATCTTCCCTTTAGGTTTGATCAGTGAAAGGATGTGAAGTAGAAGGAAAGAAAGGTTGATACCCTGCTTCAGTACTTCACCTCTGGTGGATGTTGCAATCCTTCCAGGGACATGGCTGCCTGGGCATGGAAACCTTCCATGGCTGTCCTCTCACTTAGCTCCAGAAACTCCATTTTTTCTGCTGTCCATTTAGCCACATGGGTGAGAATGCCTTTCCTCCATTGCCCATTCCTAGGTGCCTCACCATCCCTAATTTCATGCCATAAACTCTGCACACACTCTAAAATAGTCCCTTCATTAAATTATCCTCATTTAAATTCTCTGGGGTAAATTCTGTTTTCTACCAGACTCTGACTTGTACAAAAGTTAAAAGAGAAAGCTCTATTGCCAGGTATTTACCAGGTATTTAACTATAAGAAAGTTATTTAACTTCTCCTAACTTCAGTTTACTTTTCTACAAAATGGGAATAACAATAGTATTTACTCATTTACTCTATAGGGTTGTGAAATTTGTATGTAATGATGAGAGAGAATCTCATGACTTTTCCTGAAATTTTGTGTTAATATGCTTTTGTGTGTGGGTAAATGATGGAGGAGATTCGTATTTTGCAACCATACGGGAAGCCAGCCTGAAAATGTAATGAAGGAAGGCAAAGCTGAAAGAATTGCAGAGAAGCTCCACTAGAGGCTCATCTAATAGCAGGACTGTGTTGTATTTCCCTTTATCGTTACCAGTTTGGATCCGGGCCTCAGTATTTACAATCAGGAAACACCCAAGGTAATAAAAGAAATAAACTGTTTTCTCATGTTTACTTATTAGATGATGATAGCATAAATGTATTTTTTGATAAATATTTACTCTTGGTAAATCAGCCCATTCCCCAGGCTTATTGAATGGTCTTCTTTGATAGTTATTTCTAAATCCTGCAAAAAAAAATTTTTTAATTGAAGGTTTAACTAAATGCAGGAAATATTTCTAATACATCTAGTAAGTACAGAAATGCTCAGGCAGATTACACACATAATAGTTTTAAAATTGATTTAGTATTTACTAACTAAAAATATTGGTTTTTTAGACCAATAAGAGAAAGTCAGTTTTGTGCCTTATCAGCGTAATACTGAATATAGATAAAGTAAGTTATAATGCACAAATGTCAAAGGACAGAGGTAGAATACATACCTAAGAACTTGAAAAGGTGTGCTGTTTTTATTAAGAAAGCAATGTTTACTCTCTTCAGAAAACTGAGGTTAGGGAAGATTTACAATTACGCTTTTATACAATAGTAATTTAAAATGTACTTGTGAATTTATTTTTTTTCAAAATAATGACATTAGCAAAAATTTTACATAGCCTGTATTGAATTTACACACTCAAATGAGGCTTAATCAGTAATAATGGGGATGAATACATTATTGCTAGACTATGTCAAAGGCGCTAACCCCCCCTATGAGTTACAGAAGATTGATACCATTTTTATTGATTTCTTCGGGAAATTAAAAGCTCTACTAAATTGTTTACTCCAAATTTTACATTTAGTGAAATAAGAATATCTGCAATAGCTCAGTTAACATCAATAATAAACTTCAAAACAGGATTCTGAAAATGGCAGGCAAAATATTTTTTTTTATTGTAGGCAATTATTTAAACTGCATATTTGGCTTTACGCATAATAAGTCATGTGGGGAAAACATCCACATTGCAGTTAGGTTTCCAGTATCTAGCTTTCATTTTTTTTTTTTTTTTTTTTTTTTTTGAGCAGTGACGTTAACGGGATTTTGCCAGGTTATAAAAACGAGGGTTTTCTTCGGAACTACTTGTAGTTTCCGAGCTGAATGGCAGAGCGCACATAGACACATCGGAAGGTGGATGGCTGGATCTCCCAGTACTGGACTGGGTTGCTGAAAAGGCTCACCCCGGAATAAGAAGCCTTTTTGGTGTTGTATCCAGGTGGGCAGAAGTCGTTAGGGCCGATTGCAGAGATGTTGTTGTTATGAAGGTAGACAACCTACAACCCAAAATAATGGCACATGGTTATTTTCCTCTAAATATATTGAGACCATACACGTATATACTCTTTTTTAGTACACTCATCCTTCAGTTTAAATACCTTAATACTTCTCAAACCAAACTTTTGATTTCTCTCTCTTTTTTTTTTTTTTTTGCGGTACGTGGGCCTCTCACTGTTGTGGCCTCTCCCGTTGCGGAGCACAGGCTCCAGACGCGCAGGCTCAGCGGCCATGGCTCACGGGCCCAGCCACTCTGCGGCATGTGGGATCTTCCCGGACCGGGGCACCAACCCATGTTCCCTGCGTTGGCAGGCGGACTCTCAACCACTGCGCCACCAGGGAAGCCCTCTCTCTCTCTTTTTAATCTTGCTTTTCCCTCCCTTAGTCTTCCTCATCTCAGTATATGACATTTCAGTCTTTCCAGATGACTCAGGCTAAAAACATTGACATTATCTTTGACGCTCCCTGTCTCTTATACTCTCTGCCCAACCATCAACAAATCCCGCTAGTGCAACCTTCAAAATGCACATATAATCTAGTTCTGCCCCATATCTACTCCTACAGCCTTATCCAAAGCCACCATTATTTCCTTCTGGATTACTGAAGTTACCCTGATTGTTCTTCCTGCTTCCTCTTTTGCCTTCTTGAAATCTGTTCTTTCTTTCTTTCTCTTTTTCTCCCTTCCTTCCTTCCCTCCTGCCTGCCTCCCTCCCTCCCTTCCTTCCTTCCTTTCACCAATTATTTAAAAATGTAAGCAAGTTATATCATCTTTGCCTCAATACCCCAGCAGCTTCCCATCTTATGCAGAGTAAAATCCAAAGTTCTCACAGTGGCTGACAAATCCTACATGATCTGGCATCCTTCTACTCTGAGCTCATCTCTCCTCACTGTTCAATCCAACCACCCTAACCTACTTGTTTCTCTTCTCTAGAGGATGGTCCCTCCTCAGGTTGACACACACTGTTTCCTCCTTCTGGCATAAACTTCTCCAAGATGTCTCCAAGTCTTACTGACTCATGTAATTCATTTATCCTTACCAAAGAAGTCTTTCTTGACTATCCCATTCTGCCATTTTCTGTTCCAATTATATTTATTTATTTTTATTCAGCGTAATGATCACTATATAACATGTATTTGCTTTTTGTCTGTTTTCCTCCTCTAGAATAAAAGCTCTATGAGGTAGGAAACCTGTTCAGTTTTGTTCGTGACTGTATCTCCAGTGTCTACTAGAACAGAGTAGGTGTTCAACAAATATATGTTGAATGAATAAATGAATGAATTCATGGTTATTTCATAAATTGTGTCTACATGGAATGTTATGTTTTCAGGGCAAAGATAAAATGGTAGACCTTTTAATGAATTATATAAAATAAGGAAGTAATATACAGTGAAGTAAGAGAGGGTATAGAGTATTAGAATCGAAATTAAAAATCACAAACTCTAAGAAAAGCTTGAATGTCACTGCATTTGGAATATATAAACCAAGAAATTTTAACAAAAATGTATTCTATGTTACAAATTCAGCTCAAAGAATATAATGTTATAGTTCATCAGAAATTTTTTCTGAAATATATTTTATGGTTATGTTTAAGATAATGGTAATTTGTTCATAGATTTTCTTAGGGAAATTAATATCAGACTTAAAAAGAATTATAGAAATGAGTTTTTACTCCCATTATTTATATGTGAATTCTGAAGAATAAGAAGTGAATTGATCATAAAACCAAGGCTAAAATATAATGCTAAGGCAATAATTTCTAAAGCAAGCTATAAAACCTATGAGGTACTCCCTTAAAATAATTGATTTGATGGCTTCCCTGGTGACGCAGTGGTTGAGAGTCCGCCTGCCGATGCAGGGGACATGGGTTCGTGCCCCGGTCCGGGAAGATCCCATATGCTGCGGAGCAGCTGGGCCCGTGAGCCATGGCCACTGAGCCTGTGCGTCCGGAGCCTGTGCTCTGCAACAGGAGAGGCCACAACAGTGAGAGGCCCGCGTACTGCAAAAAATAATAATAATAATAATTGACTTGAAATATTGTTCCACCTACCAGAACACTTGCACTCATATGCTGGTGAAAAGGGTCTTGATTAAGAAAGGGTTTAGAAGGAGAACAATAGATGTATTACAAAAATAGAAACAAGGAATATTAAAATCAAAACAGTATCTGTGAGGTTCGTGTGTTTGTGTGTGATTCTCAAACTTTGAAAATTTCTTCTTGTCCTTGACCATTCTCCATTTCTCAGAAGTGATTAACAAGAAAGGAGAGAGGTGTTTGGTGACAGTTTATGGCTAATAGTGAAAACGAGAGAAGGAAATATCAAGACATAAAGAAAGTATTAGTCTGTGTAAAAAGGAAAGTAAATTTCCAACCTGTTCTATGAGGTCAATATTTTCTTAAAGCCAAACAAAAATCATCACAAAAAAGAAAACTACAATTAAATATCTCCTATATAGACAAAAAAATTAACAAAATATTAGGAAACTGTCTGTATCTCACAACATTATAAAAGGACTATTCACCATGGCCAAGACCAAGCATGATTTATCTCAAGGGTGTAAAACTTATTTAACTGGAAATCAATTAGTTTAATATAGCATATTAAAGGAATAAAGGACAAAATCACATGATCATCTCAATAGAAAAGAGAAAGCATTTGAAAAAACGCTTTCATGATAAAAATTTTCAGTAAACTAGAAATCAAAGGGAATGTTTTTAACTTGATAAAGAGCATCTACAAAAGACCTATAGCTAGCATCATGCTGAATGGCAAAAGGTTGATTGCCCTTTTAAACTAGGGACCAGGCAAAGATGTCTAATTTTATCACTTCTATTCAACATTGTACTGGAGATTCTAGCCAATGCAATGAAGTAAGGAAAAGAAATTAAAGGAATTCAGATAAAAAAGAATACTTAAAATTCTCTTTATTTACAAATTACATGATCCTGAATGTAGAATATCCAAAGGAATTCACAAAAAATTACTGCAACTAAAAACAATTTCAGCACAGCACTAGGGTAGAAGAAAGATACACAAAAATCAACTGAATTTCTATAAACTAACAAAAAACTCAAAAATAAAATTATGGTAAACAATTCATTCACAACAGCATCAAAAATAATACAAAATTTAGGAACAAACTTAATAAAAAATTGTAAAACTTGCACACTAAAAATGCCAAAATATTGCTGTGAGAAAATAAAGACAAAATAGAGAGATATCCCATGTTTGTGCATTGGCAGACTCAATGTTATTACAAGGAAAATTCTCCCCTAATTGATCTACAGATTCAACACAACTCCTATCAAAGCCCTAGCAATCTATCTGAGAAGAAATGAACAAGCTGGTTCTAAAATCTGAATGGAATGCAAAGAAACAAGAATAGCCAAAATTTTGAAAAATAAGAACAATGTTAGACGGCCTTCATTTCTAATTTCTAAACATAATCAAAACCTACAGTTATCAAAAGGTGTAGTACTAGCAAACAAAATGTGGTATATCCATACAATGAAATGCGATTCATCAATAAAAATGAATGAATTACTGACACACGTTATGATATGGGTGACCTAAAATTACTATGCTAAGTGAAAGAAGCCAGCCACAAAAGCCACACATTGTATGATTACATTTATATGAAATGTCTAGAAAAGGCAAATCCATAGAGACAGAAAGTAGATTAATGGTTCCCCGTGGCTGGGGATGAGATTAAGAACAAGTAGAAATATATAAAAGGGATATTTTGGAGGTAATCAAAATGTTCTAAAACTGGATTGTGGTGATGGTTGAATAATTACATGATTTTGCTAAAAATAATTGGACTATGTAGATATAGAAAAGAAAGTAGAGTAGGTGAAACCCCTGGGACCCTCTAGAAATGCAGGTAAAATGGGTACATGGATGCCAATTAGAGATGGAAAACCCAAGAGTGAGGTCCTTCTGAATGTGGGGCTCTGTGTGAATATCCATGAGATTTGCTGATATTCAACAAAGATTTCAAAATGGAATGTTTTAGAATTTTTTCTCTGTGACCCACAGTAAGACACACACTATATATTGAGCTTTAGTATATACGGATCTATGCATATGAAACAAAAATTTTATAAAATACTTACAATTACAGTGATATTTTCTATCCTATTCAACTTATTCCATCCCATCCCATGGGATGTTCCAAATGAAACTTTTAAACTGATTTTATGAACTCAGTAATATGTCCAGACTAAAATTTGAAAAACAGTAATCAAGAAGATGAAAATTATTATTCTGAGATCTAAAAACAAAACCCAAACCAACCAAACAAGAAAGCCCACCACCAACAAAAACCTTAATAATGACAACATTAGCTGTTTTTATTAGGTCTCCAAGCATCTTGGTTTTACTTGTGGCTCCAAGCTATGCTTACTCACCACTCTACCACCACCACCAAAGACCCACTGAAAATGAATCAGCATGAAATAAAACGTCTTTAATTTCATCTTCATATGTAGAATTCTTACACTTTACTGAAAGCTAGCTAATGTAAATTGTGATATGTAAACTTAATTTGGAGGTTTTGGCACAACTCAATAAAATAAAAGAGATCAGAAATTTATTGACACTGTTGACAGCAGAGTAAAGGATAAACCCATTTTGAACCCCAAACAAAGAAGTTGAGATACTAGATTACCAAAAGGTCAACTTTATAAAACGGTTTTATCTGTAAAAGAGTGTCAGTTTAAGACACAGTTTCTGAATCACCACGATTTCACTAAGTACCTACTGAAATTTCTGAAAGAAACAATTTAAATACAATCTTTAAAAAAACTGAAAAATTAGAAGAAATATACAAATATGTAAAATCTGTCGATGACCACATTATTGATCTTTTAAAAATATATAATTTAAATAATGTGTTTGTTTAATTTCCTCAAGGTAACAATGGAAATCTTATATTGTTATATATGAAATTACTATGATTATTTAAGGTAATAAGCACACTTTACATTTATAGATTTATGGACTGTAAAGCTATATTACCATAGTGGGCCACTGAACCATATCTTCTTATCTTCAAGAATACACTATAACTTGATAATCTGTACAAAGTTAATTCAGTCAGTCACACTACTATCAATAGATAAACACTGTCTTTTGACCTATATGACATCTGCTGAAGCTAAAAGTTACAATTACTATTTTATTCCATATCTATGCACTACAGATGATATCATCTTTTCCAACAAGTATGTATTTGTTACACTGATCTGTGACTTGAAACTACCCTGCTTCATAAAAAAAATATTACATTCTGGAAGCAAGCATTATAGTACGTTCAAGGCAGTAGTCCTAATTTTAAAAAAGTAATACTAATTTAAACCTATAGATTTCACAAAACCAGAATGAATATGTAGAAACATTAAAAATATCTCTGCAAAAGAATTTCTAAGCAGAGCTTCCTGCCTCCTAGCATCCCAGTAGGGAGGATTTGCTCCCTAGATATTCCTCACAATAGTTAGTGGCATTGCGTTACCTGGATGTACTTATGATCCGCCAGCCCACCAGGCACTTTGATAAGCTTGTTGTTGTTCAAATGAAGTTCCCTTAAATGAGGAGTGTTGGCCAGAGAGTCATTGTCGACAGCAGAGATGCTGTTGAAACCCAGTCCCAACCTGCAACAGAAAACAGAAACGAATGGATACACTACACGTGGATGCCTTCTTACAGGCATTGTGTGATTAATCAAGTCAATAGGAAAAGAATTTTGTTTTGTTTTGTTTTTGTACTTACTGTTACCTCTGCCTAATGTGATTTTTCCAAACTTTCTGAGTTGGATAGAGCCCATTGGTTCTTAAGGTTTCAGCTCAGAGTTACCCTCTTTAAAACTCCTCTGACAGTACCAGGCTGGATACGGTGTACCCCTAGTGAATACTCATATAGCATCCTGTTATCACCCTCTTGTAAAACTCTAAGGATTGTGTACTTGTGTGTCTTGCCTTGAGAAAAGTGACTGTCTTGTGGTATATCCAGTACTAACACAGAGCTTGATATGATCAATGAATAGCTGCTGAATTGACTGTATAATGAATACAGTGAATTCATTTGAGAGAAAAATGAAAGGAACATCGTCATTTCTGGCACTTTGTAAACCAAGCAATTGTATATTTATTACGCAAATTTATTTGTTGTAAATAAAAAGTGAAAGGTTCTAATGAGTCAATAAACCTACCTGCCAAAAAGGTTAACAGAATTAGCATTTTACATTTGTTTGAGTTTATCAGTGACCATCTGTTAACTGTCAGAATATGCCTGGTGCCAACATTCTTGGCCTCTAGAGTCCTGATCTCTGACCCTGATCTTGGCCCCTCTGACATTTCTTATGCAATGCCACTCAAGGTTTTGGGTTGTATTTTTTTTTAATTAGATGTTTAACAAGTGAGAGTCTGCAGCTGTGATGTCCCCTCATAGTAAATGGGATTCAAAAGTCAGAAGAAGTTGACTTGAAGACAAAACTTGTGTACCCAACATTCTAGGAATAAATCTCTGTCAGAACCAGGGTTCTGTCAATCCAAAAGGGCAGAGAGAGATGAGGCAACAAGGTTGTGGAAGAGAACCAGAAAGTTCCAAGGAAGAGAAAGGGGAAGAAACTATTGGATTCCTTCAAATTTAGTGAAAAAGACTTGGGTCCTTTTTGTGGGATGATTCCTACTTGCTTTCAGCTAGTTGAGATCTTTGAGCCCTTTTGGGATTTAGATGTTGGTTTAGGTAACCAAATTCTTCCAATTTTAATCATGACTTGGTATTTGAAATAACTGAGATTAAAGTGTACTGATTTTAGGCTATTAATAGCACAGTTGGTTTGTCTTACCTATTGATTATCAACCTGGCATCTTGTCTCATAATATTTTGTTTTTTCCCAGTCTTAAACTTCCATCTCTTGTTTCTGGTCTTTCCTTTTCTATTTCAGAATCATGTCTCTATTTCTTATAGCACTCTAAATCCCATATCCAATTTGGGCTAATACATTTCTTAGAATATAATAATCTTAATTATCTATTGAAGTAAACTACATTTGCAATGATTAATTTATATTCACTCATCAAATGTTTTTGAGAACCTATTATGTTAAAGACTTTTATCTTAGGCTTGTGAGGGCAGAGGAGACATGGCTCAAAAACCACCATGATTCTTTCCATCGAAGAATATTCCACCTATTAGGGGAGATGATGATATATATGCTTAATAAGAAAAGGGAAGTTTGCCTGATTAAAACACTTTATTTTTTTTGCAGAGGGACATATAGTATTTTCTCTTCACTTGTTCTTAGTAACTAATCAGAATATTTGCACTGCAACAATGTTCTGAGATCAGTGGCTGCTTTTTTCTCCTTTCCTCAATTTTGATTTTCATCACCAAAATACCCTTCATGTTCCAAAATCAGTGAGGAGCAAAAAACATAAGGATTTGATGGTTTAATAGATGGATTTTTCTGGACTTGATTCCAAAGAGAAATGTATTTAGTTAATTCAAGAGTTGGGAAAGTTTGTTGGCCAATGAGGTATTTTCCTCTGATTTAATGAATGGAATTCAAAATCCATTTAAACAGAAATCTTCATTTCTATTGACCTTTTCAAAGTTTATTAGCTCTTTATACTTCTATGCTTCTATTTGATACAAAGCATATGATTTTATATTAAAGAGAGGAAACTCAAAATCTCCATACCACTTTCAGTACAAAATAAACTTACTTTTCTAAAATGGCACAAATATTACGACTGATTTACCATATTTAGAATTTTATACTATGGTCAATCCCAACTGCTACTTCTACTCTTCCTCTTCCTCCTCCTAATAATAATAATAATCCAATAATAATAGCTGTCCAAAAGACAGTTCTACACAATGCAGAATAAACAATGCAATTGTTCTACACAATAAACAATGCAACTTATCTTCCTACAGTTTTCTCCAGCTAGAGAGACCTAATCAACATAGAAAGGTAGGTAATGCATAACAGTATTTTGAAAAATATCTTCTTCATTAGAGAGTGTAATTAAAATAGCTTTAGATAAAGGATTTCTTATCATTTGAGACACCAGGGTTATATATTGCAGCTATAGTCACATGCATATGACACCTTCAGGCCTCACGCTCCACTGGGTCACTGGGGGATACCCACAGAAATGGGAAAAACTGCATTATATATCCATCTGCTCTTAGGTATTCCTCAGAGACAAATGATATGCTTTATATTTATTTATCCACTACGAAATTTATATGCAAAAAAAGGAGTGAGCCAATTTGGTCCAACCCTGTGCTTCTCTGTAAGGACATTCAGCAATACGTGTGGATGAAGAGCAGAGTGTTCCTTGAAGACAGCTGAAAGGGTCTGCCAGCACTCTTTTTTTATTGCTTCACCACATCGCAAATACAGAAAGACTGAAGTTAGGTTAGAAAGCAGGATGGGCACTAGTGATCATCTATAAGGAAAAAAAGGTTAAGAAGGCTCAGAAAAAAAGTTTTTTTTAGAGTACATTAAATGTCCAGAGACATTTTAAACTCTTTAGAGAATAGGAATTAGAGAATCTCATGATAACTATTCTGTACTGTACTGTGAGATGCCCAATATTCCCATGTCTGGTAGCTTTCATTTTAATACATTTTCAAATTCTGAATACTATGTTATAATTTACTTAGCCTTCTGTTTCATACAGTCAAGTTAGAACAGATTGAATGAATATACTGATTTAATCAAATATCTTGTACTTATATCTAAATTAATCTAAAAACAATATGGTATTCATAAAAAATAAGGGTGATTTTGGTGGGGTTATGATAAGAACACTATTTCATTAGTTTTTTTTAATATTAATAATTGGGCAAGCTGAAGTTTGAGGTTTGTAGAAACAACAACAAAAAATGTGGTTTAGGCAAAAGAATCAATCATCATGTTTCTAATTCTGAGCATATAGGCACAATATACCTAGCCATTTTACTGATAGAATGTTATGAAAGAATATTATTACTTAGCCAAATTATTCAGTCCTTTCAGGCTAGCTGCATCAACTTTGGTGATTTTGTTGCCATCAAGATGTAATTCAGTAAGGGAAGGAGGAAGACCTGCAATATGGAAATATAAGAAGTTAACTTCGCAGATAAATGTAATTAGAGAATGTACAAAGACTTAATGAGAACATATGCCATCAATTTTCCAAAAGACATACAGTTTCAAAGGATTTTCTTTGCATCTGATTCATCAGTTTTGCTTTTCATCTTTTTCCTTCATCCCTTTTATACAATAATATATCTTTTGGGAAGTAGTACAAGCCCTTTCTGCTTTTCTCCTAGATTTATTATGACAAAAACATGGACTGGGTTTATCATGTAGTAGATTTTTGTCTTAGCCACTGTCAGGATACAGTTGTAGAACTGAAGAAAAACCCTGAATCTCATTAGTTTCTTACAGCTTTGTTAATGGGCTAGCACTGCCATTGACAAAGGATAATAACTGTAAAATGAGGAGATGGGCATCTGCACTACAATAAAGCGATTATGTATAAGTTCAACCTATAAACAAACTTAACCAGGTATTTTATTAATGAGCATAATTAATAACTAACACTTATATACTGTGCTGGCTTTAGTTTTAATCAAGTTTTCCATGAAAACATCAAATGCCTCTGTAATACAGTGTGTAGCAAGAGCTAACACTTACTTGTTCCTTTAAAATCAAAACTGTTTCTTTATACAAGACGAGTACAGAGACCTATAATCAAGTGATCTGCCATATGTGGGGCACCTGGGGAAAATATTTTAAATCCAAAGTATCCACTAAACCTCTGGATAGTACTTCGTGAATGGCTACGACTTCTAAAAATTTAGTAATGTAAATTTAAAAGTTTAAATCTTTGATTTTCATTTCCTCCTGCCATCTGCGACTCTATTAGGTTTTTATACAGCTTTTTAAATGGCATATTGTTCCATTTACAAGAACAGCAACAACTACAAAGAAAATAGCAAATGGGTTACATGTAGAACTAACATCTGCTTAGCAGATATTGGGTTGGCCAAAAAGTTCGTTCTTCTGTAAGATGTTTCAGGAAAATCCGAAAGAACTTTTTGGCCAACCCAATAGTATTGGTTGTTTGTCCATAAAGAATAAAACTGGAAAATCACAGGTTATGTTTGGTCTGAAATTTTCATTGCAACCCACTGAATTCTGTCAAGATCTTCTATTTAATGTAAAAGTTTATTCCATATTTGATTTGAAAATGACTATTAGTTTCTCAATAGTAGTATGATTTGTGTGGGAGATACTAAGGAAAGGAACTTCTACTTACTAAATGTCTGTTATGTGCTGAACACTGAGATTAGCATTTTCGTAACTTAGCTCATGTAATTTTTTTCAATTATAAATTATTTTTCATTAACCTCGTTTCATCAATGAGGAAACAGAGATTCACAATTACCCATTTTGTAGGCTATCTAGCTACTAAGTGGGGAAAGTAATATGCTCCCAGATGGCCAAAGAGAGTTAAAATAACATGTTCTTAAATGAAAGAAATGAAATAACAATGGCATTATTCTTATGAGTAAATGTCAGGAAATCAGTCACTCTTGGAATAAGGGATTTCAACCACTTGAGTCTCCTTAGAATAAATAAATGTGGATTTTTAAAATACTTCTATAAAGAAAGCAAGTGAGTATATAACAAAGCAATGAGTATATGTCCTTTTTTCCCTATCACTATGAAAAGACATTAAAAAAAATGTAGTGTCTCTGGAACACCAATTATCATCTCATCCATCATTCTTACCTTGTTTCTAAGTGTCTTCCCTTGTGGGACATCAGTTTCCAAAAAAAAAGTTATGGGAAGTTTGACTGTGGAAGGAAATTTTGCAATGGGATGGAGAGAGGCAAATTTATAAAGAATATCATTAGCCTATGCCACTATAGCATTTAGCCAAATTACTTTTTTTTTCTTTTCCTTTTCCATTTTTAAGATAAAATATACTGAGAGCTTACTTTGGGCCAAGTACGCTATATATATTACAAGTCTTATTTATTGATACATCTATTAATCCTCACAAATATCCTAGAAGATAGGAGTCACTAATACCTTCATTTTATAGGTAACAAAACTGAGGTTTTAGAGATGTGGAATAACTAGCCTGAAGTCACAAAACAGCTAAATGATTGAGTCAAGCCTCTCACCCAGGTTGGTCTAACTCCAGAGTGTGAATTTATAATCTCTCTACTCCTCCATGGCCTTTTCATGTCCATCAGTGATGGGACACAGTATATGGAAATTAAGACTCCTGGAAAGTGGTGACATCCAGGCATAAGGGTCCCAGCCTAGGAAAGGTAGACTCATACATGACACAGGCATAAATATTCACAGGAAGAAGGACTTAAGACGGCAGCAGAGTGAAATGGTCAAACACATGAGCTCTGATGTCAGCCCAGCACAACCCAGCTGTGCCACTTCCTAGCTCTAAGGCCTTGGTCACAATTTACTATCTTTTTAAGACTTATTTGCCTCATTTATAAGACAGGTGTGATAATATTACTATAAAGGATTGTTTTGAGATTCATATAACAGAAGCCATGAAAAGCATTTGGCACAAGTGCTTAATAAAACTTACTTACTATGATTTTAATATTATTAAGAGTTTAGTAAATAAAAGCAAGCTAGAGAAGATGAGAAAAGAGCACCTAGCATAGGGATAGACACATGTAAGAAATCAAGGAAAACGGATCACTAAGTGATGAAATGTGTTACTGAGGTATATTTAGGAGATGTAATTAGAAGGACGGCAAAATCAAAGATTGTACTTAATGCAAATCATCTGGCAGCATCAAGTAGTGAAAAATACCTGGACTTTAAATTCCAGCTACTTTACTTCACCTCCTACAGCTCTAAGGCTTTAGGCAAGATAAATATAGAAAATTATATGTATATGTATATATATATATAATAAAATATACTATTGTAAATATAAATTAAAAATATAGTTACAAATATAAAATCCTTGCACTGGGGATTAAAAAATTACTTGTTACATGTAACAAGTCAGAGACTCAACATGAAAGTACTTTGTGAACTATAACTCAATCTCCATCTATCTATCTATCTATCTATCATCTGCACCAGTAGTTGCTATTAATGGGCATCAAAAACATACTTTGTAGCCAAAAGACTGTGGAAGGGCAAGGGGTAGTAAGGAAACATTCTATGGACTCCGTACTCTCTAGACTTGAAGTTTCTGTGGAAGCACAGTAAAGGGAAATTGTTTTCTGTGGGCAAGTACCTATATTTTCTACCCAATTCAAGAACAAGACATCCAAGTTGAGGAAGGGCCAGACTAAGGGGAAAATTTGAGAATACAGAGGCAGTTTTGTGAGACTGAAAAACCTGGGACCAGAAAAATGTAAACTTAGAGAAACTTATTTTTGGTGATTTGATGCCTTTTCTGTCACAAAGATTGGCTTATGTGCCTCTCCTGGCTAAGCCTTAGCACGATGAGCTTACCCCTGTGACTGTATGATGACTGCTGTTTATTTGCCTGTCTTTGTTCTATGCAAGATCCTTGAAGGCAGGTCTACATCCTACTCACTGCCCTGTCTCCAGTGTTTGTACTTTGCCTAGGCAAAAGGAGTGTTTAAAACACTTTTAATGAATAATAGAAGGTAATATTAATCCACTACTTATCTACAGGCCAGATAGTTCTCTATTTATTTAGTTTTAAAACAACCCGATGGGGCTTCCCTGGTGGCGCAGTGGTTGAGAGTCCGCCTGCCGATGAAGGGGACACGGGTTCGTGCCCCGGTCCGGGAAGATCCCACATGCCGCGGAGCGGCTGGGCCCGTGAGCCATGGACGCTGAGCCTGCACGCCCAGAGCCTGTGCTCCGCAACGGGAGAGGCCACAACAGTGAGAGGCCCACGTGCCGCAAAAAAAAAAAAAAAAAAAAGAGTAAAAAAAAAAACAACCCGATGAAGTGGATGTTAATATTATTACCACTTTACAGATTTAAAAATGTGTCATACATGTTGAATAACTGGTCCAAGATCGTAGAGCCAATTAGTGACAGTCTGAACTCATTCAAATGACCCCCAAAATCCACACTCTTTACAACACACACCACCACTCTTAAATAAGAATGTGACACCTGTGAGTCCTGTTACTCAGATAGTAATGACTAGAATGCCCTAAGATGGAAAGGAATTCACTAAGGGATCAGAGACTCAAAGTAAAAATTGGCTCAATATCAGAGGTACTTCCACGTATCATTTTTTTTAATAAAGTACCACTAAAGCACTCTATTTTTTAAGTAACTGTACATTTTTTCTGTGATATCACAATTCTATAATATAAAATCATTGTGTGTTAACCTACATTTTATGTTAGATGTAAGAGACTTTATAGGTGAAAGAGTCTAGGCATCTCTACTGTGAGCCTAGAGGGCCCAGTGGTCAGCTAGGTTCAGTAGAAACACTTCGAGGGATAGAGAATGGCCGCTTGAGTCACCATTCAAATTTCCAAAACCATTTTTCAGTGTCAAAGCCTTTGGATTTAGATATTCAAATTGCTTTGGAGAATTTTCGTCACCTTGAGGGATGGTGGTTATATTGGTGTCAGCAATGCGGATGTAGGAGAGCTTCTTCATTCCCTGGAAGGCTCCATTTTCAATGCCTGAGCTCTTCAGAGGGTTGGTGCCAAGTTCTACAAATGCAATAAGTGCAAAGCTTTTAGAGGACAATTTGAGGGTATTATAAGTCAGAGTACTGTCTGTTCAACAAGAAGAAATTTGGGTTAATAACAACTTGCCTGAAAAACAAAAGAGAAATTAAAGGACATGCTTCTCAAAGGGATGGCAAATGGGGTAAAAATTTTCCTTATTAAAACAATCAAAAAATGAACAACAACAAAAAACCCCAAAGATTTATGAGAAAGCAATAGTAGCAAAAACGATAACAACAAAATTATTTAAGGTCCATACACAGGTCTGCCTAGAAATCAATAAAAGTAAGTGTTTACAAATCACACTTATTATGGGGCAATTACTTTACTAAGATATATTAAAATATTGTTAAAATAATTTGAATCTAGGATTTTTTAAGCCAATTATAAAATTACAAATATTTTACCACACATAGAGAAAAGCTTTAGAACACATTTTTTTAAAGCAAATGATTTATAGATGTTCAGACTAGAACAAATTCCCACAACAGAAAGGTATCCTCCAAGTATCTCTAATAAGCACTACTTAATTCCATCCTGTACCTTGGGCATGAGGCAGCTAGTGGAGCATCTGCCCTAGAGCTTTTTTGCACATTCTCAGATCCTCAAGGACAAGAATAAAAACGTCTTAAGGCACAGATTCAAAATCCCATTTCTCCTGGCCCGGCTACTGTTATTTTTATAGTATTAAGACATGTAAGTTCTAGCTAATTTACCTTCCTGTAGCTAAAGCTTACTTGTAATCTCTTAAGGTGAACCTTGAATCCTGCCTGGTCTTAGAGTTATAAGAATATCTGTACCTACGACAATCAACTGGTTCAATCCATTGAGCACAGACTTTCGCACTTTGGTGATCTCGTTCTCATGGACACGCAGCTCCTGAAGAGTTTTGGGCATTTTCTCTGGCAATTCCTTCAGTTGATTCTTGGACAGATAAAGTCGTTCCAATTTCACCAAAGGTGCAAATGCCCCAGGACTGATTTTGCTAATTTTGTTGTTGATAAGAATCAACGTCTGTAGGCAGTGAACAAAAGCAACATCTTAATTCCAAAACCTTCCACACATAAATATGTATGTAAAGCAAGGGTGTGGTTTATTCATTCCATTCATGGGACTAGCAGAGAAATCTGCAAAATTAGAAGAAATCAGAAAAAAATTAAACTGATCTGCTTCCTTTATTTGAAAACATATGTGGACCTGAACACCAGGAGTAAAGGGGAGAGAAATTTGATAAAATACAGATTATAGATAGATAGAGATAGACATACTTAATTTTTAAACAATAAATACTCCAAAATATTGAAATTACTAGAGTGACCTGTAAAGAATCGTGTGCCACAGGCATCCATTCTCCAGTCAGCTTTTCAACCTAAAAGTCCATCTTCATTGGTTGTTGTCATGGATTCCACTACAAAGGGGTGGCACTAATTTATAACATCATAAACAATGCAAGAGAGTAACATTTTCTTGCAGCCTCACAGAGTTAGATATAATCGACTTCTAAAAGTTTGCCGAATTAGCACATTATGTTGTAGCTCATTGCTTTACTTTGCATTTCCTTGTCATTTGAGAGGTTAAACAAATTTCCTTTTTTATTTTGCTACCATTTATTGTTTGGAGGAAAAGGATTGCTTGCTCACAAAACTTCACATTTTTCTTAAGTTTTTTTTTTTTTTTTTTTTTTCGTACCACGGGCCTCTCACCATTTTGGCCTCTTCCGTTGCAGAGCACAGGCTCCGGACGCACAGGCCCAGCGGCCATGGCCCACGGGCCCAGCCGCTCCATGGCATGTGGGACCCTCCCAGACTGGGGCACGAACCCGTGTCCCCTGCATCGGCAGGCGGACTCCCAACCACTGCGCCACCAGGGAAGCCCATTTTCTTAAGTTTTAATGTATTTTAATAACTGGTTTACAGAATAAAGGTATAGATAATAGGATATGCAGAGACAATATATTTTTCTTCTGTTTTTGCCCTTTTTACATATAAGGGCTTTATGTAGTTAAATATGTCAAATATGTTATTTTGGGGGTAATTTAAAAATGTTTCTGAGTTCCATTCATATAGGAAGTTACTTGTATCCATTATTGTTATACTATAGATATTGCTACACCTACTTTTGGACTACCTCATTCTCCAACACTGATATTATTTTAAGTCAATTTATCAACTAATCCTAAGGAATTTAGGATAATTTTATCAGGGTTCAAGAAACTTGTATTTTCAATTGTAGTACATTTTTAGGAGCATATGAAAATGGAGAGAGGCAAAATAGGAACTAGAGTAATAGAACAGTGAGAACTTTCTATCTCAGAAATGCAGGACTACTTTCTGAAGGTAACAGCTGGTTTAATGACCCATGTACATCCTCATATAGTTCACATTATTTGACTAATTAAAACTTATTACAAGTAACATAATCTTTTAACTAATCCTAACAGGTACATTGGTTGATTAAAACAAAATCCTAGGAAATTTCAAAGACTATTACAGAAAGTTCAAAACCCATGAGGGTTAAAGTCATAGGAAATTGATATTAACAAGCAAAATGTCCAGAAAATCAGTAAAAGCCAGAGCTAGAGGAGAGAAGAGAGAACTTGCATCATTAAAAGGCAGCCAAAATGGTGGATGCTTAATTATAAAGGCAAAGGCCGTCCGTAATTGCCACCCATGCAAGAAAATTCTGAAAGACCGATACAATTAAATGAATTAAACATGGTCTGAAAATCTGTCTTATTTTACGTTAAATGTTGAAACCTATTATGAAGAATCAACCTGCTGATGTGTTATCTGAAATTTCAGGTAATAAAATATTACTTCTTTTCCTAGATAATAACTAGACAATGTCTCTACTGGTGAGTACGCTGTAGTAACAATAACTGCTGCTAAATTTTGGGGTGGTGTGACATTTGTTCCCAATTATTTTTTCAGTAAAGTAGAAACTATAATAACACCTACAGGGGGTTGTTGTGAGGATTAAAAAATGATCATGCATATAGTTTGCTTCTTTGGAAAGCACCTTTCAAATGTCATTGTTGGTTGAAAGGTCTAGTCCAGCAAAAAGCATTTCCACTTTCAGAATAAAATAAATGTGAAAAATGAATCAACCATACAAATTTTGGTCATCATGATGTAAAATGTTAAGATATATATAAATTAGAGCTTTATCTAAAACAGATCCATATGTGAAAAAAGGTACTCATGTATATACAGTACTGCTAAAGATGGTTAATGTTAGTTTCATATACAGGGAAATGTATTTAAGAAAGCATAGTTATAATATTACAACAGGTAATGGAAAGATGTCAACATGGGAAAAAACTGACTAATTACATTGGCTAATGACAAAACAGAGAAAGAATCAAAGGTGAACCGCAGATATTCTTCAGGAGATCAGCTGATGAAAAAATGAATCACAAGGGCTTCCCTGGTGGCGCAGCGGTTGGGAGTCTGCCTACCGATGCAGGGGACACGGGTTCGTGCCCCGGTCCGGGGAGCGGCTGGGCCCGTGAGCCAAGGCCGCTGAGCCTGCGCGTCCGGAGCCTGTGCTCCGCAACGGGAGAGGCCACAATAGTGAGAGGCCCGCGTACCGCAACAAAAAAAAAAAGAATCACAAGTAGAAATGGATTATCATTAGTTAGGTAAGAGGACAACAGAAGTCCAATTAGGAGAGACCTTGTTGCTCAAGGGTCAGGAAATGCCTTGAGTACTATTTAACCTGAAATTGAAGCCCAGGCTCAAAAAATCAGGACTGCCTACTTCTCTGGTGACTAAAGAAAAGTGATCTAGCCTGGTAGGTAGGGGAGAGGTGACGAAAAAAGTGACTGACCATAGAAATAGACTGGAAGGGGGAGTAAAAGCATTTTTACCACCTTCATCAAAGAAAGTGGTCAAAAGGTATAAACTTACAGTTATAAGACAAATAAGTACTGGGGATGTAATGTACAACACGATGACTATAGTTAACACTGCTGTGTGGTATGCCTGAATATTGCTAAGAGAATAAACCCTGAAAGCTCTTGTCACAAGGAAAACATTTGTTTTTCTTCTTTTTTTTAATATTTGTATGAGATGATGGATATTAATTAAACTTATTATGGTAATCATTTTGCAATATATGTATGTCAAGTCATTGTACTGTACTCCTTGAAGTTATGTAGTGCTGTATATCAATTATATTTCAATAAAATTGAAAAAAAATGTTGAAACCCAACTTAATAGTATGTACAATTTTCTCCAAAGCCATTTATGTAGGGCTCACACTGTACCAGGTGTTGTTTAAGGGATTTTATTGTTACTGTCATATTTACAGGCAATTTATAAGTGCACAGACTCAAGCCAGACTGTTCCTGAGGTTCGATCTCAAACTCTGGCTCTTATTTGTTGTGTGACAGTAAGCAAGTAACATAACCTCACTGTGCCTGAGTATCCTCATCTGTGTTAAAGGTGTTCTCAAGAGTGTCTACCTCATTAAAATAGTTATAAGAATTAAACAAGTTAATGTATACAAGATATTAAGAACAGTGCCTAGTATATAGTAATGGCTAAAGAAGTGTTTGCTATTATTCAATCTTTGACAATTTTTGTTTATTTTTAATTAAAAACTTTAAAAATTAGATTTATTAAGCTTTCATTCAAAGGAAATATATTGAATGCTGATATTATTATACTGAATTTTCCATTACTTTATAGAATAATTATGTATTTTTTCTGCTATATATAAGTATACAACTACTCTTAAGCAATATATACTGCTCATAGTGAGGCACAGTTGTAAATTAATAAAATTATTGAGAAAAAGGCAACATTTTTCTGTTAAATCCTTTCTATTTTAATCCTTGGTAAATTTTTATTTCTCTCCCTTCTCATTCAAGGGTGGCTTTCCTGGCTGAAATTATGATGTTTATTTGCATAATAACAGGGATAGAAATGGTCATGAATGAAAGAGTAAGAGAAAAATAGCTGTTTAACATCCTCTAAATGGTTAGAAGCTCTAATGAACTCTGTCTTCTTCCAGTGTATACTTTAAAGCAGAAAGAAAGAGATTGCCAAGATGATAATTTGCCTAAAAACATACTTAGCAGGAGACGCGGAAAAGAAAGAACACATTGTTACAAACACCAGACTTAGTGAGAATGTCACAGAAACTAGGTATCTCTTATTTAAGGTATGAGGAGTTTAAAAAAATTATTGAGATTATACTTAAACATACAGGAAGTTGGGTATAAGAGAATTTTCCTTCCTTAAAAAAGTAGCTTTAGGCTAAAGTTATGCAAAAAAATGAAGCTTTTTCATATTTTAGTTTATTGAAACTAATATATTCATTTTTATTATCACCTCTTTTAACTTATTCCAATGATAGTTTAAATACTCACTGACAAACTTTGTTGGTACCTCCATCATTTCACTCCCAGTGAAATCATAACATGAAAGCAGAGAGAAGGTGAGTAGGGGCCCATGTCCAGTAGCCTATCAGTGGAGAAGGATCCCATTGGTCCAGGGCTCGAGATCTCCAGCACAAGCCTTACCTTCCACTACTTTGGAGCCTGTATCTTTCACTTTAGCCATCTTCTCTTTTTGTCTGCTGCTCATTTTCTTCTGCCTTTCCTTTCCTCTTGCACAGAAAACTCTCTTCTCTTCCTTTCAAAATTCTGCTAATCCTCTATGAACCCTTTGTTCCATATTCTCCAATAACATTAACTGGGTAACCTGATATGAGAGCATGTCTTTTTCTTCTCTTACTTAGTGCCTGAAATATTCACTACTTATATCGTAATGTGCTTATATTGTTGGATACTTCAGTAATTTGATGATGCCATTTTATTACTTGCTATTATTTTTGTTAACTGTTCCATGGGCAATCTTAAAATCTCAAGGAAAAATTCTTTGCTTCCTTTTAAAAAGTTGGTAAATTGGGCTTTCCTGGTGGCGCAGTGGTTGAGAGTCCGCCTGCCGATGCAGGGGACACGGGTTCGTGGCCCGGCCCGAGAGGATCCCACATGCCGTGGAGCGGCTGGGCCCATGAGCCATGGCCGCTGAGCCTGCGCATCCGGAGACTGTGCTCCGTAACGGGGAAAAAATCTGGTAAATTTTCTCCTAATGGATAAATGTTTATTGCTTTTCTCATCTTGGCTGTCAGAAAGTTGATAACTAAATCTTGCCTTGATCATGCCATCTCTTTTCTGCTGGAATCCTGACTGTGTAGACTGGATGTGTTACATTACAATAGAGTAGAGGTAAGTGAAAAAGCAGAATAAAAACACAGATACAGATAAGGATGCAGCATGCATAATCTTAAATACAAAGCAAAATATATAGCTATATAGACATTTATTTTTTTCTCTTGGTGCCATTCTTTGAGCCTTTACAAAGCCATTTGCATGTCTTAGAAAATGAATGAAAGAAAACAAAAGAAACAATGAAATAAAATAATACTAAGATCAGTCCATTTTGTGTTTTGTTCCACTATTGAAGTACATTCTAATTGGGAAGATAAAGATTTTTATTGATAAAATATGTGAGAAGATTAAGATATAACATATCTTTTAGAAAGCCAATACTAAAGTTATATGAGGTATATGTAAGAAAATTGGATGCTTTTTAGGGGTTAATGAATATGGTGCTTTGCTCCTTTATCACCCCCTAAAAAGAGAATTTAATAAACACTTATGTGCTTATTTATTACCATATGGTAATCTTGGCCTTACCTAAGTTTTGTTTTCAAAAATACTTTGAGTAAGATCTTGTTATAACTCAAATAAATAATAATTCTTACGTGAAGGTTCTTCAGGTTCTTAAAGTCTCCATCTTTGATTTCAGTTATTTTGTTGTTTTGCAGGTCCAGCAGTGCAGTGTCAGGGGGAAGATCTTTTGGCACTTTTTCCAGACCTAGCATGAGAGTAAAAGCAATGTGCACTCAGTGAAAAGGGACACATGGCTACAGAATCACAAAGGATGGTTTACAGAGAAATCAATGTTTCAATGATAGTTTTACTGCTACCATATTTTTCTTCTTCTAGGAATTATATCAACTGTAGTTTAAAATATCTGTTCTATCTTTTCCAATGAAGTCAAATGATTTTTTAAAAAATCATAAACAGGTACATTATTTACCCCATGTAATTACTCTTCTGCATAATAGGAAAATTAATATTTTGTAAGGTGTGGTTCAAATGTCTCAGTACACAGTGTGTTTTACCTCATTGTTCTTGTTTTAGAAAATCATTCCTTTGATAAGTGTTAAGTGGGAGTGATTTGTAAACCTGTATTTTTCTACATAGATATCCTTTTTTCAATCTTATGTAAGCATGCAGGTAAATTATCATGGTAACCATATTTCTATCTTCATATTGCCATGAAAATTACAGAAAATGTATCTGAAATACCAACTTCTGATTTCTTTCCCCCCTAAATTTTTTTGTTCACATTATCACTGTTCTGTTGATAATGGCAAAAAGTCTAGTTCCCAATTCAGTGATCAGCTATGGTTACAAATTTGAATATCAAAGTGCAGGTAATTCTGCACATGCATAAATATATTCCAAGAACTCACTACAGAAATAGTTCACAGAGAAATAACAAAACAGAAGTGTTTTCAGCGATGAACAGCAAACCACCAGAACAGCTACTTTGTAGGAGGATATTTAACTGCACTATACACTCATGATCACTGCCATTTACAGAAATGTCAGTTTGCTAATTTCATGCAATTAAGAGTGGTAGACTTCTGCCAAATCTTTGATAATTAGTGTTCTTCAAGGCAGAAAAGGCACATTTCCTTTCATTTGGAGAAAAGTTACTGCCTACATTTCATCATTACTTCGTGGGCTTCTTTGTCAAAGTCTTAATTCCCACTTATGCTTAGTTTTATACATTGTTGAACTTATATTATAGTGGCCCCCTTAACAATTGTTCAATGCCAAAGTGAAGATACATTTCAGATGTGAAGAGAAAATGATATATCTGGATGGCTGACAATTTTGATTATGTCATCCTAGAATTTTATAGTAATAGGAACTGCTTGGGGTGAATTATTTACATCTTTTCCCTGAAGATTTAGCATAAAAAAAACCAGGCTTCTGGTTTCTGCAGCTTAGTTCTTAGAGAGTTGTTATAATGATTAAAATCATAATCCTACAATCTTCTCTGAATTACTAGAAAATTCATATTCATTTGAGGGACTTCACATATCAGCACTTTATTATTAAAACTTTATTTAGCTTTAAATTTATAAAAAAATTGAAAATATATTATCTCATTTACCTCACAGCAATCCAATGAGACAGGTAAGGCAGTATGATAATATCATTTTTTCAGATGATTTTTAGAAAAAGTTCAGTGACATGAACAAGCTCATGTAGCTAGGAGTGACAAAATGCAGATGAAAAGCCTAATCTCCTGGCTTCCAACAGGATATATTTTTTTCCTATCATACTTATTTGTATCCCCAAGAAGAATTATTCTGACATCAGACCCAATAACATGCTATACATTTAAGGGCTAGACAAGGTATTGGGGTATTAACTAGCTCACTCAAAAAGTATAGGCAGAATACAAAGGGGAAATTATCCTAGCTATGAGTTCTTAGAATGTCACAAAGGGAAGGACCATTGAGTATCAGCTAATCTATGGTTTCCAAATTCTGATCAGGTAGACTCTATGATGAGGTTCTTATCAGTCTATATCATAATCAGAAAACTATGAGGGCAATTTGGTTAGTTTTAATGTTAATTATTAGACACACATACACATGTACACACACACATTTCTGAGACTAGCTCCTGCCTCCATTTTAAATATACCTTCTTTAAAAAAATGATTGTGATAGCAGATGTCAGGTTGTTGTTATTTTCTTGGATTTGGTTCTGACCTTCATAAGAAAGTAACTTGTTCAACATTCAAAAAATTTTACTTGTCCCAGAAATCAGTAACTTTCAAGCCAGTCTAATACTCTCTTTTCATAGGTAAAGAAACAGAAACCCAATGAAGTTAAGTGGCTTCTCCACAGTGCCTCATGGCTAAACTAAACCAAGAACGAGATGCATGAGTCCTCACTCTAGAACTACCTGATATGCCATGGATGCATGGAAATGATGTACATATTTTTAAAAGATGCTGATCTACACTGTCCCCTGAACATACTGTGCTTATTCCCAGCTACTCATTTTGTTCATATAATTTGTTTTATGGAATACCCCACCCACTCATTTTCTTCCACTTCCGTTCTAACAGTCCTTTAAAGTGTACCCACTATCCCAACCCCCCTCTATAATATTTGTCATAACCACTCCAGAAAACAAACTCCTCCAAAATTCTGATCTATCAACTTATTATGTATTATACCACATTTTAGTTTTCTTTCTTTTCTGTAAGTTCTGGGTAAGTAAGGACAAATGACTATTTTTCATGAGAGCTTTGATCTTACTGCCCTATGTACAGAAATAAATTTTTGACTGATTAGTTTTAAAATCATAGTGTATTCTGCTGTCCCATTGTGAAAAGTTCATGGCCATGGCTTCAAGATCTTTTCTGCTATGTTTTGTTACAACCATCTCTTCACATCCTTCTTTCATAAAGGTACATATTCTCATAGTAAATCTCCCAAATTATTAGGATGCAACTGGCTCAGAATTCAACAAGCTAGTCTATAAAATAATTCCCTACTATAGTGCATAGCAGAGTCCCAACTCCTGGTACCTGTAATTATTATCAATAATGAGAAGAGAGGGTAAAACTCTATCTTGCTGATTATTAGTCTGTAAGTCTGTGACAAATGACTGTTTTTTATTTTCTGTACCATACAATTATAATGCATATTATCCTGAAAGCTGCAATCTATTTTTCAGTTGTTATCACACACAGATTTTTCACCTAACGCACTTGATTCTGAGTTGGTTTTTCTTGTCAGTCATTTTGTGGGCTTGTTATAGTCATCATTTTTCCCATGAAGTTCAAGACCTTTGGACAACTCGTCTACCAAGCCCCCCACCTTTGGATGATAACTCCTCAGTTTAGTAGGCACATATTCCCAAAAAACAATTAGACCCCCCCAAAAAGCTGTTCACGGTCAATTTAACCCTAGTTCAATTATGGCAAATCCTACAGGCTTGCAAATCTGTAAAGTATCAGTCTTTGTTTATATTAGGATATTCTTTCCTTTCTTTCCCTCCCTCCCTCCCTCCCTCCCTTCCTTCCTCCCTTTTTTCCTCCCTCCCTTCCTCCCTCCCTTCCTTCCTCCCTTTTTTCCTCCCTCCCTTCCTCCCTCCCATCCTTTCTGCCTTCCTTGGCATTAATTATATCTCCCATCTTACATGTTCTTATTCAATACACACTTGTCCAACCCCATCAAAAGATGGAGTCAAATTCCTGTCCCTTCAAATGTGGCATGGCCTTATGATGTCTCTCTGACCTAATGGAACGTGGTGAAGGTGACAGAGCATGACTTCCGGAGCTAGGTCAGAAAAGGTTGTTCAGCTGCTACCCAATTCTTCTGGGATGCTCGCTCTGGGGGCATCGAGGGGTCACGTAAGAAGTCTTTCTACACTGAGACCACTATGCTGGAGAGGCCATGTGAGACACTCCAGATGACAGAAGAGCTGAGCTCCTAGGCAACAGCAGAACACACTGCCAGTCATGAGAGTGAGCTGTCTTAGGTCCAGTCTGGGCCATCCTCCCCATGGCTATGGCCTCAGCCAACACCTGACTACAAATGCATGAGAGACCCCAAGTGAGAGCAGCCCTTCTAAGCCCTGCTCAAATTCCCTGTAGCTTAAATCATGAGCAAAATAAAATGATTTTTTAAGTCACTAAGTTTTGAGGTAATATTTATTCAGCAATAGTAACAGGAAAAAAGTGGTTTCCTAAATTTAATTATTTTTCAATGAGCATTCTTTAATATAATTCTAAATCTCCCATCAAAATGCAATTATTTTCAAGGCTAGACTGAATTATTTAGTTGCTCTTCCAAATTCAGTAAAGGAAATTTTATCTTCTTTAAAATAGGGTTATTAATTAAAGTAAATAAAACTCTATTTAAGACATTACCAGAAAGTCATTTCTGAAATAAAGGCTAATAAGAATTGTACTTTTTTTTTCTAGTTGTCTCAGTGATGAATGGTATTGTTGTGCTAGCAAATTTCATCAATCTGGTAAACATCATGTTGGACAAAGGCCAGGTCATCCTAAAACATCATGCCTTTTTTTTGTTGTTTTCTGCCCTGTGGCAGGGGTCCAAACTCCAAGATTTATTCTTGTTGATTTCCAAAATGTTTTTATATTTCTGTCTTCAATTTAATAATTAGGTCAATGGTGATACACTTTAGTTTTGGCATATGATCAAAATAATATGTAGGAGTCCCAGCTCCATCAAAAACCATTTCTTCCAAAGGCAGGAATGTTTCCCTCTTTTCCTCTTAAAAAATAGCAATTCGACTCTGATGGCAGTTGGATTCAGAAATAATAGATCATCATTTTAATTCGATTCTCTTTCCAAATAACTTAAGGAAGGTTTAAGCTTCCTGGTTCCATAGTCATCCTCAAAAAGAATAAGAAAGGATACGCTACAGTTCCATGACTCCTAATTTCCAGTCAGCCATGTTCCACCCTGTTTCCAACTAGAGAGAATCAAGAATATTGTAGAACTATGCACTCATTCAAGCACTAAGCCATGCATATGTTAATTTATTCACTTATCAAGCATTTATTGATGTTTGAGAACCTACCAAGTGTAAGGCATTTTTTGGAGTGGAAGACCAAAAGATAAATTATCACCATGCTCTTCTTCTGGTAGAGAAAGTAAATATTTAAATAAGTAATTAAAGATAATGAATAATTATTATCTATGTACATATAATTGATTACTGCAGAATCATCAAAGCAAATATAGATTA